GTTCAGGGTTTAGGGTTTAGGGCTTAGGGTTTAGGGAACCCTACACCCTGAACCCCAACCATACCCGGGCAGAAGAATGGAAGAGGGGAAGAGGCACTGACAGGGTTTAGATTTGTTTGGGGTGACGGGAAGGTGCCCTTAGCTACGTACTCCCTTCTCCTAGGGCTTAGGTTCGCGAGTCAGCCCCTTCAGAAACAGATGGAGCCCTTTTGTTCTTTCACAGGTAGGTTACTGGGAAAGCCTGAAGATAAAGCCTAAACCCAACGCCCTGCATATTACGGGGTCTGAGGCTCCCTCACAAGAGGAAAGAATGAGGAGATGGAGCCACCCTTCTCGGGGTGGAGGAACTCGCGTCAGAGAGCTTTGGGCCTAAGCCCTGGGAGAAGAGGCTCAACTAGGACGCCCAGTAGTTCCCATGCTCCCCGCTTCGGGTTAATATTCCCTTGGGAGCAAAGTGTACCTGTTGTTTGTCGGCGTATGTTTATGTTTGTTGCATGTTTTTTGTTTTGTTGTTGTTTTTTCCCCCGATGTCGCTGAGGGACTTAGAATTGACTTTCGGCCTACTCCTCGAACGCACCCCGTTCCGACCGAAACACCGCAAGTCATGCCTACTTCAGACGGAAGAAACATCCCTCACCCGAAAAACCAGGAACCCCTGGCCCCGTTTGCGGTCTCACCCTCGCCGCTGCGGCAGCCATTGCTGCCAGGTGCGGGGGGATGATAGTTTCAAGATGATCCCAGTACTTCGCACATTTCCTTGGGAAAGGTTTGGTGTCCCACCATGCCCCCATGCCTATTGACCCCCTAAGAATCATTTAAGATTTCGTAAGAACCCCCAATTAAGGTACACTTTAGGGCCTTATTAAGAGGTACTTGAGGGGGTGCAGGTTAAAAAAAGAAAGAAATTGGTTTATTGTGAGGTTGGGTGGGCCTTTAGATTGAGTTGGGCTTTGGGAGACTTGAGTTCCTTGGTTGGTGGTCTTAAAGGCGCATGCCCACGATGTTCCGTCAAAGGTCAACCACATAGATTGATGGATGGCGACGATGGATTCGGCAGCGAAGCAGCGCGAAGTGTCCATGATGGTCCCCATGCTCAGACGTGGCACGTCGACACAGGTTTCGGGTCAGATCTCTTTGTGCAAATGATAGGCTCCCTCACTTCTAAGCCCTTAGCCACCCTTTCCGCTTTGTGCACCAAGTTTGCTTGGCCTCTTGCGTAAAGCTACAACCCCAAACTCAAGTCCGCTGCTGTTGCGGAATCTGTGATTTTGAACACCCTCCTTTAGGCGTTTAGCTCTCGGGTTGTCAGTCTGAAATGAAGAGCTATAGGGCTTGTCCCAAGCTCTAAGCTCTTCTCACTGGGGAGATAAGATGCCTCTAAGGTCCCTCGAAAACCCAGTAGAGGGTTTGTGATCTTATTGGGTCTGGTGGTGGCATCCTTTCATTGAAGTTTCGGACGACTACTCCTGGAGCCTTGAACTACCAGCGGTACATCTTCTTTCCGAGGAATTGCTGGGAAACATACAGGAGCCAACCGGAGCAGCCCTTATTCCTTTGTAGAAAGAGCAATATTCCGGAAAACTAAGACATCCATACAAAAGCTACTTTACGGGGTGCTAGTAGTGTTTTCAGGCTTAGGGTTTAGGGTTTAGGGGTTTAGGGTTTAGGGTTTAGGGTTTAGGGTTTAGGGTTTGTTCAGTCTCCATGCTTGTTCGCCTGGCTGACTTTGGCGGCTCGCAGGCCGAGGGGCTTCTTCGACCGTCAGGGGGTTGGGCGCTGAGAACGCCTTCATCGTGGATATCTAAATTACTAAACCCTAAACCCTAAAGCCCTAAACCCTAAACCCTAAACCCTAAAGACCGGCACATTGAGTCCAAGACCTCAAAATGCCCCCGAAGGTCACCCACCCTTGCCGGGCAAGGGCCTTGCCAGCTAGAGCACTCAATCCCTGCATCAAGTTTCAGGGTTCGGTCACAGTGTGTCTGTGTGTGTACATGTTTTTTGAGGGAGGCGGGGCGTGGGTAGGGCTGCTTGAAGTTGCCATGTCGCCCAAGCTCTGACTCCTGGACTTCGGGGGTGTAGACTACACCGGTGTCCTGCTAGCCTCACTTCTCTCAGAGATCTCGGGAACTTTTCCATTCAGGAGCATGTGAACCCTAAAAGGGTTTTTGGCTCATATACCTTCATAAGAACGATCTTAGTATAGGGTAAATCTGACTCCAATTTTAGGGTTCTTTTGGTCCCCAGGGAAGGCAGGCGGCATCAGGTTGCTCCTAAACTTGAAATCTGCGCCCAGGCGCCTTCCAGGGATACAGCGCGTCGCCTTTGAGCCCTTCGATGAGGAGACAAGTAGCCTGCAGGCGAGACGGGGTTGAAAGAAAGGAGGACCTACACATTACATGCGTGGATACATCTGTCCGTGTCTCTCTCTCTCTCTCTCTCTCTCTTTTTCTTCTCTGTACATACACGACTCGCAAAATTCGTAGACTCAGTCGTAGACTGAACAGGAGAGATTCCAGAATGCACGCACACGGCAGCGCTTTAACATTAAGGTGTTATAGGGTGCTTCAGCTTCGTGGCACTTTGCCTTTCCAAGTCCTGAGCCGCCGCAATTTTGCCCAAACCCCAAACCTCCAGACCTTTGTGGGTTCAGGGGGTCAAGCCTCAGAGGGCTCCAAACCTCTGAGCCCAAAATCCTGAAGACAAAGTAGCCCCCAAAGGCAGCATCCTTCTCCCCAAGCCGAAGCCCCGTGAGAGTACTGCCCGTGGTTTTTGATGGTGTGGGCACTCCCGCTGACAGCATGAAGCTTCAGCCGACAGAGAGTGTACACATGTACCCTTTACAAAGCCCCCAAAACCTAAACCCTAAACAGCAGTAGGAAAGACAAATTTCATGTTTAAGCAGATAGATAGGATACCGTGGTACTTGCGCTCGTGGCAGGTCGTGGGTTCGGCTGGCTCCTCATCCAGGCTGGCGGTAAGACTCCAGAGTCAAATGTTATGCGCAGTATGTTTTTAACCCCAAAGAGCAAGCAGCGTTTGGGGATTTATATACCTTCCATCGTTCAGCTCTATAGGAAGCCGGCATATAGTTCTTCCTTATTCACGGGGGTCCTATAAGGAAGCCTTTGCAGCACCCTATAGAACCCCAGAACCCTTCAGAACCCTAAAACCCTAACCCCCCCCCCCCCCCCCCCCCCCAAAAAAAAAAAAAAAAAAATCCAAAAAACCCCAAAAACCCCCCCCCCCCCCCCCCCCCCCCCTCCCCACCCCTAAAACACCTAAATCCCTAAACCCCCCCCACCCCTCCCCACTGCGGCGGGGGGCATCCTTGGAGCTGCTCCAGGCAGGAAACCGCCAGCGGGACTTCCGACTCAAAGCTTGTGCCGTCGCTGCCTGAGACAAGGTATTGGGGTTTGGGTTTGAGGTTTAGGGAGACAAGGGTTTAGGGTTTATAGGGTCTAGGGTTTATAGGGTTTAGGGTCTAGGGTTTGAGGTTTGCGTAGGTTCCGGCCAGGCTTAGATTTGGAGGGTCAAGGGTTTACGTTCAAATTTGAATCTTTTTCGTCTTTAATTGGCTGTGAACAATCGCTTCCACGTAAAAATAACCCACCCACCCCACCACAACGAAAAACTGCCGAACGAGTTCCAGCCGACATGCACTAGACCTGACAAGCAGTTTTCGTACAGTGCTGGTTTCGGGGGGGCTATCTGAACCTTAAACCCTAAACCCTAAACCCTAACCCCTAAACCCTAAACCCTAAAATGAGTAGTCAGAATAAGGGGTCGGCAGCCTGTTTTTGGGAGGAGATGAAAGGCAGGACTTGCCGTCGTGGCCATCCTACCCTAAACCCCAAACCCCAAACCTCAAACCCCATAAACCCTAAACCCTTGTCTAGGGTTTAGGGGTTTAGGGGTTTAGGGGTTCAGGGGTTTGGGGTTTAGGGCTTTACGGTTGCCACGTGCAACCCGGCCAGTCGGTAGACCCATGTATACCTTGGGTCTGCATCGCTGTTTATGAGCTTAACGATGTACCGCTCCCCCTCTCAACAAAGAGGATACACAGGCACCGTTTTTCTGTTCAAAGGGGGAGCCTAAGCCAAGCCCTGCAAGCCCTACGAAGCAGACCCTTAAGTTTACTGGAGGTCCTTTTTGACTTCATGGGACGCCCCCGAAGCCAGAGTTGCCGCCTAAGCTTCATAAACCCTAAACCGAAGCCCCCAAACCCCAAACGCCAAACCCGAAACCCTATAGACCCCAAACCCTAAACCCTAAACCCTAATCTCTCTCAAACCCTCAACCCTCAACCCTAAACCCTGCACCCTAAACCCTAAACCCTAAACCCTAAACCCTAAACCCTAAACCCTAAACCCTAAACCCTAAACCCTAAACCCTAAACCCTAAACCCTAAACCTGAACCCTGAACCCTGAACCCTAAACCCTAAACCCTAAACCCTAAACCCTAACCCCTAAACCCTAAACCCTAAACCCTAAACCCTAAACCCTAATCCCATCCAAGGACGGCCCGGAAGGCTTGGCTTGAAATTGAGCTGCGGTTTTTGGGGGAGGGGGGGGTGGCTTAGGGATTAGCGTCTCGGGGGTTTGGGTTTAGGGTTTAGGCTTAGGGTTTAGGGTTTAGGGTTTCGGGTTAAACAGGGCCGTAGGGTTAAGGGGTTTCGGGTATGAGGGTTTGTTGGGCTCTAGGTCTGTGCGGTTTTGAAAATTTGGGGTGTCGGGTTGGAACTTCAGGGCTTTACGGGTTTAAGTTGTTTTACTTTACTTTGGTGTTTGAGGTTCAGGGCTTGAGGGGTTTTAGGGGTTAGGTTTTAGTCCAGTGGGTGCTTGAAAGTCCTGAGTCTTTGTGGCTTTGTGGTTCAGGTTTCGGGATGTTTGGGGCGTGGTCTATGGCTAGCAGCGGTTTTGGGTTTTAACTTTATCGTTCCGTGCGTTAAGGCTTCGCCTCATGCTCGAGGACCGATGGACCCCTGTGATACCAAGTAATGGTAAACAATGTCATGACACCGGTATCACTGTGTGCTCATACAAGTACGAACAACAGTCGAAATCACGAACGCTTCACCCTGGCCATTTTTCGTACTTGCTGTATATCATGAAGAATGCAGGTAGGTCTGGGCTCTCGCACTTTTCGCGAGCCTGGCAAGAGTATGTTCCCTGCGGTCCCATCGCCTGACGTTGCCTAAGCGCATGAGCCCTGCTGTCGTTGCCAGGTGGACAAGGGCAAGAAGGTCTTCACCCTGAACGCGGAGGACATGCGGAGGCCGCCAGGGCCAGTGAGACGCTGAAGTTTCAACCCCTAAACCCCCCAAGCCCTGTACCGGAATCCTTAGGGCAGTGCAGGGCATGTTACAGTTCCGCTGGTCAAAGCTACTGGAAGGGCTTTGGGTTCAGGGTTAAGGTTTTATGAGGTTCAGGAAGGTTAGGGAGTCCAGGAAGTTCAGAATGCTTCGGGAGTATAGGAGTTTAGGTTGTTGAGTTTACGGCTGAGGGTGGTGGGATGGGTATCTCTTGGGTGCAACCCTGATTCAGTGTACCTGCCGCCCTACTGGCTAAGCAAGGTCATCTGTGGGGTTCTGGTAAGGCTTAATCAGAGCGCCGGTGTCGCAAGCTAACACTAATTGACAGTACTCCTAGCACTCAGCGGCTGAGGCGGCTGCGTGAATGCTTCAAGCGGGAGTGCATCCAGTCGGAGGACTGCCAGCTCTTGTTTACACACCCTGCTTGTTTGGTCTTTTGCGGTTTTCGAGTAGTTCTAGTCATTCTAGTCCATGGACGTAGGGAGGGGGGGGGGGGGGGGGCAGCTGTGCATTCGTGATTGGGCAGCAACCCTGTAGATGTCTGAAGGCCCGGTCTACAGCTCCTTGTTTGTGGGCTTTGGGTTTGGGATTTCCCCGATTCAAGCACGGAGCCTTGTCTGAGACAGCCCACAGCATGGAGCCACACGCCCAAGATCTCATGGATGTCTGCAGCGTTTGAACCAGAATGTCAACCCTGAACCTTGAACCCTGAACCCTAAACCCTAAACCATAACCTAAGCCTTTGTCAATTTGTCATCCTATTTCTATACAAACCCCAAGCCCCTCAAGCCCTATGGCCAACCTTGCCTTCCAATCCCTTAACGGCAACTTCGCGTGTCTGACAAGAGACCACAAGCGGCCCTTAGGGGTTAGGGTTTGGAGTTTAGGGCTTAGGGTATAGGGTTTAGGGTTTAGGGTTTAGGGTTTAGGGTTTAGGGTTTAGGGTTTAGGGTTTTAAGGGTATAAAGAGCTCAAGAAGCAAGGGAGTTGCAGGAGAACGTGCCTACCAGCATTTGCGGCCGCATCGCCCGCCTGAAGCTCAGAAAGCTTCACAAGTGTCAGCCCCTTCTAAATCCTCAATCCCAACCCTGAACAATAAACCCTGAACCCTGGCCCTGAACCCTAAACCCTAAACCCTCTAAAAACCCCTAAGCCAACCCCTGATGCTTGTTTGGTGGAGCATATGCCCTACTGGTTGGGGGGGAGGAAGGGGTTGTTCGGAGGTTTCTTTTCCTGTTCTCGGGCCCCTTTCAAAATGAGAAGGCTCCCCTGATTTAAATCGCCTCTATGGTCTCGATCCCTACAGCAAGGTACGAGGCTGAAACCTCCCAAAAGGGAGCCGAACTTGCAACAGAGTTTCATGCAGAAACCCAAAACACGCAACTTAGGAACAGGGCACCCTAATTCGAAGGATTAAGACTGGTGCCGTACCCCTCAGGTTGTACCCCACAAAGGTTCCCCTTAATATACGCCTAATTTGGCCCTTGTGCTACCTTAAGGGTCCCCAAAACCCGGGGGCACGGCCTTAAGGGTCCAAGGTACAACCCCTCGATGAGTAGCAACAGAGGGTTTTGGCAAGTTGTGGCGTTGCAGAGGTTCACCCTGCAGAAGTCGCAATAGTTAGTTAAAGACGTAGTGTTCGGGGTTCGAGCTTGGGGAAGATTCTGATGAAGTTTCTTTCGGGGTTAGCTATAGTTTTCCTGTTCACAGATTTCGTAAGCTACCCTAAAGGTACTACTGGTACATTCGAGGTCCCAGTTGCCCCTAAACCCTAAACATCAAAACCGTCGAGGGTTTAGGATTTTGGGTTTGGGGCTCAGGGTTTGGGACCCGACAACGGCCCTCAGCTTCGCCCGTGGAGCAGAGAACACCTTGGCACCTTGCCGTCAACCCCTGGGCTGATCCAAGTGATAGCCCGGCAAACTATTGAGGATATCCCTCACATAAAGATGCTTTAAGAGAGAGAGAGAGAGATATATATATATATATATATATATATTCGTGTAGAAATTGTGGATATACACACACACACACGTACATCTACTCATCTACGGGTTGTAGATTAAATGTTGTGCTCTTATAGAATATAAAGAGGGCCAGAGTTTAAGGCCAGCTCTCTATTCTCAGTCCGGATCAGGCAGCAACTTCTTCAACACCTGTGTCCTGGTGCAGCTCTCAGAGCTTGAATTGCAGGATGGGGAGGATGGCATGATACGAGTGTCAACCGTAACTTTAGAACCCTAAACCCTATAAACCCTCAAAAGCTCTAGGATACAGCGGTGTCCCGGTGCAGCTTCAGATGTCGGTGAAGTGATGCTCGATTCTGAAGTCTTCCTGGACACCGCAGCCAAGCTGACTAACTCGGCAAGGGTCTAGCCACACACACTCTAATCCTTAAGTCCTATAAACCCGAAGCCCTATAAACCTGATGCCCGTAAACCTTAGATCCCCACAGGCCCCAGTTCGGACCTACCAGAACTTGGTGCCTTCAGGTCATCATCATCTTGAACTCGCTGTGGCGCCATGGCAGAATGCCGAGCGGGCTTGTGAGTCTGAAGCTATAGCTGTATACAGTGGTCCTCATGACGACTTCAGTTATTCTTTATTTCGTATTTAAGGGGTATGGGGCCCTTTGGGAAAGGTATCTTCCAGTTGAAAGCGAACACGTGATAACAGTTGTGCGTTACACGAAATCAATCCCCCCCATTAAGCCCCAAGTCTGCAGATTCAAAAGGGCTTTGTGTAAATCGCCTACGCAAACTATTCGACCCTAGGCTCCAACGAATTACCTATAAGGCCTGGCATGCTGTGCATGTGTAGACTTGGGATGAACATCGACTGCTCAAAATCTGTGCATGAAGGCATGTAAGCCCATTTTGGCACCAAGCCATGACCTTGGAGTCCTTCCGTGCGATCTCCACCCAGGATCGCAGTGGACACGGACTTCAACAAGTCGGGATCTGTATGGGATGCGCCATATCCCTTTCTGCGACTTGGCTGAGCTGGTCGTTTGGAGGCCGTTTCTGTTCAATCAGATCAACCTCAGGCCCTAGGCCGCAAAGTCTTCCCCAGCCTCCAGTGCGGTCCAGGGTGCGCAAGACAAACTTTCATGTAGATGTCAGGATGGTTTAAGTTAGGGGGCCCCTCGTAGGTGGCTGGTCATAGAGTGCCATAGCCCAGTCGGTGACTGCAAAACAGCTGGGCATGAAATCCCCGACGCAGCAGCGACTTCCACTTCTCGGTAGACCGGCGTGTTGTCTTTGTGATGGTTTCGGGTTAGGTTTTGTGCTTCCCCAGCTCAGCTTATTCTAGCTAATCTTCCACCGATCTAGCTCCTCGTTTCGAACGAGCATGTCTAAGTTCAGTATACGTTGATTACAAGAAGAACAGGAAGGGCATACTTCGCAAGTTGCCCCGTTGTTCTGCTGGCGTTAGGCGTTCCCCTGTGCCCATATTTGAGCATAAGTCAGCAAGTAGTTCCGTGTTGAGAGGCTTGCACTTATTGCTGTGAGAACGCATATTTCCCCGCTGCACGTTTCTGCCCCGGTGTTTCTGGTTAGGGGTTTAGGGGTTGTTTCCTGATTTGTTCGATTCCAAACCTGTCTTTCCCTCTGCGTCAGTCCCTGCATGCGATGACCTAAGTCAAGCGAGCGAAGCAGCATCCAGGATCACCGAAAACCTGTTCTGCCTCTTCTTCACCGTGGAGCTGGTTGTCCGCATGGGGGCGTTTCAAAATGCCGCCCAGTTCTGCGATCCTTTGCCTCAATGGTTCCTGCCTCTTAACCCTAAACCCTAAAAGGGCAGGCATGTCAGAGACCTGATCCTTGACCCCTACACAAAATCAGCTCAATACCCTAGTAGTATCAGCAGACCCTTCACAAAATCCGAACCCCAAGCCCTGACGTGCACACAACATCACGTCAAGGCATCACACGCAAGGAGACCGTTGCACGAGGAATAGCGAAGGGTTTTGGCCTTTAGGGTTTTAAGATTTTCGGATTACCTGGAGTTCAGGTTTTTTGATGGGCTGAGCAAGCGTTTTGCTTCGCATCCTGGGCTCTTTGCATACAAGATCCGCCCTAAATCCGGCTCGCTGGACAAATGGTCTGGCAGTCGCGCCTGCAAATTCCACAGAGACAGGGTGCCGGTTTCGACTTTGAGGCAGAGGCAACTTCCACCGTAGAAACCATACAATTGTTCAGCTTGAGCCTTGCTATGAGATGGGGAGGGAGTTTCGAGTGTGGCCTATTGGCCCTGTTTGACCAGGGACCCATGACCCACATGCACAAACTCCAGACTACTTGCCCTTGTTGGCCAACAAAGCTCCTACAATGTACATGCCTGAACATGCCACGCCCGTGCGTTAGCCCTGAGCCGCCAATACCCCTCAACCCTAAACCCGAACATCCTAGCTACACGGCTGGCCTTAACCCTATAAGCCCCAAGCTCGAAGCAATCCGAAATATCGTGTCCCAGGATGGGTGGTTCCTTTTCGACTCGTCCCTGACCGTCATGATGATCTGGGACACCTGGCGCCTCGGCAACAAACTTTGAATCTAGGGATCTAATGAACGCGTTCGGAGCAGCCTTAAGGGTTCATGGGAAGTTCATAGGCCCGTGTCTTGGCCCCCGACACCCTCGTACGCTCGCCGTACCGTGAGTCCGAGCAGACTGTTTGACACCCGCCATCGCTGCCAATCCCATATCGCCAATAGTTCACACGACCCAGCCCTGCGCATTTCGGACTTACTGACCTTCACCGATGTCACCGGATTTCTTTAAGCCTTCCACGCCTGAAGCAGCCCCAAAGCGGCAGCCGAAGACATCCCTAAACCCTAAACCCTAAACCCTAGACCCTAACCCCTAAACCCTAAACCCTAAACCCTAAACCCGAAACCCTAAACCCTAAACCCTAACAGACATCGGAAGCAGTCGCCCAACGCCAGGGTGTCATTCCTGGTCAAGACGATCTCGGGGCACAATGTGATCAGCTCCCAGGCTGGCTAAAGAGTCGTTCGGACCGTAGGGATTCAGGATTAGGGTTTAGGGTTTAGGGTTTAGGGTATAGGGTTTAGGGTTTAGGGTTTAGGGTTTAGGGTTTGGGGTTTGGGGTTTGTTGGTTTCTGGTTTATGCCCGGAAGGAAAACTCCTGGCGCTTGTTAAGGGACTTGAATGAGTTTAGGGTGCAGGGCTTAGGGTTATGTACTGTAAATGTGGTACCTTAAACCCTACACCCTAAACCCTAAACCCTAAAACCTACACTCTAAACCCTAAAACCTAAACCCTCAACCCTGAACCCTAAACCCTAAACCCTAAACCCTAAACCCTAAACCTTAAACCCTGAACCCTAAACCCTCAACCCTCAACCCTAAACCCTAAACCCTAAACCCTAAACCCTAAACCCTAAACCCTAAACCCTAAACCCTAAACCCTAAACCTAAACCCTAAACCCTAAACCCTAAACCCTAAACCCTAAACCCTTACCCTAAACCCAAAGCCCTAACAAGAACCCACCTGGGCAGGTCAGGAGCTTTACAGTCCTCCGCGTCTTGCGCGTTCTCAGGCCGGGAGGGCCCTTGTAGTCTGGGGGGGGGGGGGGGGGGGGGAGGGTTTGGGGTTTGGGGTTTGGGGTTTAGGGTTTAGGGTCTAGGGTTTAGGGTTTATGGTTTAGGGTTTAGGGTTTAGGGTTTACGTTTTAGTGTCTAGGCTGACACCATTGCATGCTGAGTGTTACGGAACGTTCTGTGAAAGTGAGCTCGATGCTAGACTATGCGCCTGCTATAGTGTATAGGTCGGAGCCTCCCACCCCTCCCCCCCCCAGAAAAGAACAAACTTACATAACTCCCTAAACCCTAAACCCTAAGCCCGATAACCAAGCCAGTCTCGCCCCAAAGGTCTACACTCTGAACCCCCCCCCCTCCCAAAAAAGAAAGAAAAAACAACCTGACAAACTCCCTGAAGCCCCTCGACTTCCCAAACTGCCTAATTTCTCCCCCTACACGGAGGTTCAGGTCGCTTCAAACCAAGGTCGCTTCAAACCCCAACTACATCTGCACTTATATAAGCCCCCTATATAAGTCCTCTTAGTAGGTGATAGCTAGACGTCGAATCGCGGGTAGAAGTACCCCTGAACCTGCAAGCAAACTCCCTCAAGGGCCCTGCCGCAGGATAGCGCGAGTGGCCCGCGCCGCGCGCATCATCAACTCACTCCCCGAGTTGAGAGTGCTGGTGAAGGGCATGGTGACCCTGGGCTTCAGGAGGTTTGGGGCTTAGGGTTTCGGCTCGGGTATAGGCCAGGCCTTACAGGGTTTAGGGTTTCTAGGGTTTAGGGTTTCGAGGGCCTAGGGCTTGTAGGTGTAATTGTTGGATTTGGGGGCCCTACGCACACCCTGAATAGAATAGCCCTAAACCCTAAACCCTAAACCCTAAACCCTAAACCCTAAATAGCCGCTCCACAGGGTTTGCGAAGCTCAGGATTGCCATGCGCTCGACGTGTACCATCCTGGCCCTGCTGCACCTCGCAGCTGAGGGCTTTGCGCTGGATTTCGGGAGGGTTGAGCTTCAGGGCTTGGGGGTCCTGGGACTAGGGTTTAGGGTTCAGGGTTTTGGGTTTAGGGTTTTGGGTTTAATGTTGACTTCGCATTAATAAACCCCCCCCCCCCCTTCATTGATCAATCTCTCCGGCCAGGGCCTCCTCAATAATGTTCGCCTAAATCCTGGTAGGACGTACTATTAGTTGTAGTATTAGGTAGTAGCACCACGCCCGTAAAAACCGGATTTCCCGGGTCGGATTTTACAATTGTGGCGGGTTACAATATTGTGTTCCGGCAGCGGGATTTTACAATTGCGGCGGGAATCACTAATGTGAAGTCAACATTAGGGCTTATAGGGTTTAGGGTTTAGGGGGCTTAGGGGTTTTGCGCTGTTTGTTGGACGGGCTGGATGTGGGGGTTTAAGAGGCTTTGAAGCTGCCATTGGCAGCCGAGGGCTTGTACACTCTAAACCCTAAGCCCTAAGCCCTACGCCCTAAGCCCTAAGGCCTAAACCCTAAACCCGAAACCCTAAACCCTAAACCCTAAACCCTAAACCTCTCTACCATATATACCTAAATGTTAAACACGAATTTGGCGTTTCGACCCCCATTGTTCAGCACGAATTTGGCGTTTTAACCCGTCTGACCCATTTGGACCCCCATTGTTCAGCACGAATTTGGCGTTTTGACCCGTCTAACCCATTTGGACCCCCATTGTTCAGCACGAATTTGGCGTTTTGACCCGTCTGACCCATTTGGACCCCCATTGTTCAGCACGAATTTGGCGTTTTGACCCGTTGGTGTTTTGACCTGCCTGACCCATTGGCGTTTTGACTCGTCTGACCCATTTGGACCCCCATTGTTCAGCACGAATTTGGCGTTTTGACCCGTCTGACCCATTTGGACCCCCATTGTTCAGCACGAATTTGGCGTTTTGACCCGTCTGACCCGTGTGATTGTTTGGCCTCGTGGTGCGTCTGAACAGAAATTGAAAAAACTTTGTATTTTCTTAATGATATGGGATTCTTTGGGCGGGTGGGTTTTTATCCGTTGCCTACACACACTGCTGGCCTAGTAAGTGCTCGAACTTGAGATGCTGAACCCTAAACCCTAAACCCTAAACCCTACACCCTAAACCCTAAACCCTAAACCCTAAACCCTAAACCCTAAACCCTAAACCCTAAACCCTAAACCCTAAACCCTAAACCCTAAACCCTAAACCCTAAACCCTGAACCCAAGCCTTGGGCACCCAGTAGGGTGCCAGGCAGCCGAATCTTCTTGAAAGGCCTTTTCTGGAGACATCCCGAACTGACAGACACTCTCAAGCCCTGAAAGCTCTAATCCCTTCTAACCCGAACCCTAAACCCGAAACCCGAAACCCGACACCCTAAACCCAAAACTCTAACCGCAAACGCTAAACCCCCTCCAGCCCTGCTGTGATTTCGAAGCTGAGGCTCATCATCGTCTACATCTTTGCCATTCTCTTTGTGCAACTGCTCTCAGAGAGCCAAGTGGGAAAGGGGTGGTTTGAAAACGTGCCGCAGGCGGAGAAGGGTCTGGGGCCAGAGTCTGGGGTTTACGGACGTTGGGGTCGTAGGGTTGCAGGGTTTAGGGGGGGTTAGGGTTTAGGGGATTCCCCCCGCGCGTCTTCAGTCGTGCCCATGACGCTCCTCGGGATTCCAAACATGAAGCCTTCCTTCGTCGCAGGCGATGAATTTCCTACTGCTGCAGACGCTGGCAGGGGCAGATGTGAACGTCATCAACAAGCTCTTGGCAGCAGGCCCTTTTCACTTCGGCGTATATGCGGGATTGAAAGACGGGGGAGAAGGACAAGGTAGTTCCTTGTGTTGGGATTTAAATATTGGCAGGGCTAGAAGACAGAGGGAGCCTTTCGGCGTGGGCCGTAAATTGGGCCGGGGGTTGGGCCATGGCCTTTGCAAATACAGCAAGTACCCCGAAACAGGCACTCACAAACCCTCAACCCTAAACCCGAAACCCCAATGAATGCTTTTCAAGCTAGGAAGGCAGCCCCACCCGAATTCTCCAAGCCCCTGCGCTGCGAAGCACAACAGCCCGAAGCCTTAGGTGTTTGGGCTTTTAAGAGGGCCAACAACTTGAACTTCTTGCCCTTAGAAAAGCCCCCAACCTTGAGGCCCTAAACCCCTAAAGTCTATAGACCCCGAAACCCCCTACATCCTAAACTCAACAGCCCTATACCCGAAACTTACCCCCTCACCACTATCCGGTAGCCGGGCACCTCGAGGCTTGTTGGGGGGCCATGGCGGGCGTTAGCTTGGGTTTAGGGTTTCGGGCTTAGGGAGACCGGAGTGACCATAACTTGGTCTTCAACCTCAGACATCAAGAGACTCTAGTCCCCCCAAGTAAGGGCCTTTGACCTTTGTGTTTGACAACGCCAGGCTGGACCTACTACATCCTCTACCTGACCTTCGTGGCTTGTTTGCATGGTGGCGCTCAATGACTCGAGTTTAGTCCCTAAACCCTAAAGCCTCTACCCTAAACCCTAAACTTTTCTAGGGGAAAAGATCTTGTTTTAGAAGTTTGGCAGGGTTCCAGGGGCCGACGTGGGACTTTGCAGAACTCGGGTAGAAGGTGGCGGAAGTTCCCAGGGCTAGACCAGGCAGCAAAGTCTTGGAGCTTACAGGGTTTAGGGTTTAGGGTTTTTTGGGATGAGTATTGGAGCGGATGCGCCTCATGTTGTTAGAGGATCAGGCGAGCCAGTCTTTGTGGTGAACACGTTGAGTTTAGGATCTAGCGCCGCTCGGATCCTTACACTGCGCCCTTGTGGCCACTTGTGATGCAGCTGTGGTTCAAAGCTTAAGTCTCCAAGCAGAGCCATACGCAATGAAACTAATGAAGCTGTATCTTCTCGTGGTGCTGGCTTCGCTGGCCCACGTCTCGGCAATCCAGTCGGAGAAGGCGCAGATCGCTCTGGACTCTGCATTATTTCTCCTTGCTTGGATGAATCAGGCGCCGGTGAGATTGCAGTTTCGCCTTGCTTCTGCGGCCCAAACCAGGCGGTGTGCGTCCCCGGGCAGTTCTGCTACGTCTCTTCCGGCTCGGGTAGCTGCTTTGCGGCGGCCGTGGATCCCACTTCGCCTTGCCAAAGCAACGACGGCACAGTGCCCGAGGGACTTCCGTGCACTTGCAGTGGTGGCGCCACTTCGGCGGTATGTGAAGTTGGGCAAGCCTGCGTAGCCGACGCCAGCTCCAGCCAGTGCTTCGACACTTGCACGAACTTATTCGGGAGTGGAGGTGTTTGTCTAACCAACAGTTTTCCGCAAGAGCCCCTCGACCCATTACCTGCAGCAACTCTCTGCTCCGGTGGCACCGGCAGTTGCACACGAACAGATTGCTGCCAGCAGCCAACGTGCACGCAGTTTGTCTCGTGGGGCTATGCTACTGCCTGCACCGTCTTGGGCGTTGGGTTTGTGCCGCCACCAGGGGACCCTTTTTGCAGCAGCGTGGGCCCAAACGGTGAGATTAATCTCCAGGGCTGCGCCCATACCTGCTGCACATGTGCTGGCTTTGATTCTGTCACCGCGTGTACCCAGGGCGGCGCAAAGCAAGCACCTGAAACCATCATCTGCACAGCTCCCGGTCCTTGCACTGCGGCAGATTGCTGCGAGGTCAGGTGCTCTCAGCAGGGGCCAGCGTGCAATGTATCGGCAGCGGGAGATCCTGTGTGTGGTGGGTTCTCAGCAGCAGGCGAGTTGCAATCGGACGGCTGCACAGCCGCAACTTGCTGCGACAACACCCCGCAATTCTGCGGGGCTGCTGCCGTGTGCGACGGAAACTTTGTCAAAGATGACAGCCAGGACTCGGAACAGTGCGGTACCAACAACAATCCCGGCGGCTGCACGAATGGAGTGTGCTGCGTCGAAGCGCCTACAACAAGTTCGACGACGTCTACAACTAGTTCGACGACGCCTACAACTAGTTCGACGATGCCCACAAGCTCGACGACGTCCACAGGTTCGACGGCACCGGATTCTTCGACGGCGCCCTTAAGTTCGACGACGCTCGCAAGTTCGACGTGTGAGGACTATGAATGCAAGGGCAGGAGAGTGGTACCTGACCCTTCCAAGAAGCAAGTCGTCTGCCCGCCTTCTGGCTGCGACTCGGAGACCTGTTGCAAGTGGCGCCGGCGCCTGAGGCGTCGTCGCTACCATGGGTCCAAATGGGATGCTGAGGAGCCTAAAGGGAGATAAGGGAGTAACGCAGAAGCTGCCTAAAGAGTCCCAAGGAGCCCTCATGGTAGCCTTACATATGGTTAACTCTCGCAGTTGTGTGGCACGTTCGGGGTGCCTTAAGTAGATGAGGGGCTGCAGTAGCATAGGGGTGTTAGAGGGACTTTCAACCCTCAACCCCCAACCCTCAACCCTCAACTACCCTCAATCCTCAACCCTCAACAACCCTATATACCCTAAACCCTGCAGGACACTGCCTTCTTGCAAGAAGCGTGGTGCACCGAAGGGATGGAGGACTGTGAGACCTTGGAGGAGAAGGGTTAGGGCCTTTGGGGTTTACGTAAGGGTTTAGGGCCTAAAGTTTAGTGTCTATAGGGTTTGGGGTTTAGGGCCTCAAACTTTTGTTCCCCGTCTCCCGTCGGTATTCCGACCCGACGCCCTTGATTCATTTGGTGCAAGCCATGACGAGCAGTCGAGGACTCAGAGCTCTGAGGTGCCATGATCGAATCCTGAAGCTTTAAAGTTCCAGGCATGGCGCCCTATGGCACTCTTTGGTGTCCAGTTTTGCCGAGTGAGGCGCATTAATGCAGTTTTGTTTTTGTTGCGTCCGCCTGTCGACAACAACAGGCTTTTTAATCTCCTGCGCGTCACGCTCCCTTTCTCTCCCCCCCCACGGAGATTTTGACGGGGTTTTAGCTTGTGGAGAAGACAGCTGCTGAACCCTAAACTGTTCAAGTCCTGCCTGGACACACAGAACGGGCTGGGCATCACATTGACCCGCAGTCGCCTTTAAGGCGTTGCCTCGTGGACGTGGGCGAAGCAGAAAAAAGATGCCGATTCTGCATCTGGACTCCAGACTTTTTTGGGGGGCACTTCCGGGAAATGTTACTCTTCCTTGTGACCGCTCTTCTGCTTGACATCGAATTATCGAGTTCCATGGGCTCACTCCAGCAACACAACGCAATCATTCGTTTACAGATTTATCGGCCACGCTGGCAGACAAATCGCGAGGCGACTCACCAGTCGTTGTGCATGGACCTTGACAAGGAACCCTCGCGTGTTTTGCTCCATATGACATGGTACTTTGTCTTGAGTCTGAGTCCTGGCATGACATCGTGCAGTATGTTCGTCGCTTTCTCTCTTTTTCCACACCGTAGCTGAGCTTCGCAGTGTGGCGTTTGAGCTTGCTATGGAGATCCGTTCCGAGGAGCCGCGCGCATACACCTTGCAATGCTGGGGTAAGTCCGAGCCCTTGCTGAGGTCTTTATGGGATCTTTGACCCTGATGCATCTTGGACCCAGATGTGGGGCAGCCTCCAAGCTTTTTTGAGTTGAAGGCAAATGGTGATCTTTTTTATCCGGGTGCCAATGGGTGGTGGCTGAGGTAAAGCATGAGACGGAAGGGAAGCAAACGCATGTGTACTCAAGAAGTCTGTCACTTCGTGGATACGCCGCGTTCATCCCGAGCGATTAGGGCTCCATTAATACCCGTTTAGGATCTCAGGGGGTCAGAGGGTCTTGAAGCAGTTAAGAGGACGTGGGCTATCCTCCAAGTCATGGTCCCTTTCTGGCCGCTGCTTTAGTGCGGAGCCTTACTTTTGAGGTCCGCAAAAAGGACCATCATCTTGAATGAGCCCGTGTAGGTGTGGTGGATGCTAGTGCCGCCCCTTGTCTGTGGCTTCAAATCTATAGGCACCTCGCAAAGCAACCCCGAGCGTGCCTTTCTGCACCCCTTCAAAAGCCATATATGAGCCCTAAACCCTAAACCCTAAACCCTAAGGTACTACACCCGGCAACTTCGTGAAGTCCTGAATCAAGCCCAACACGCGAGGAACATGCTCATCGGGGTCCTCTGCGAAGTGGTTGGTGTCGTTGCCCAGATTGAGGACCCTTGTCAATGCTCGAGATGCTGGCGCTGTGTGTGTCCATTCATATGTATATATATATATATATATATATATATTTGTATAGATCTACCTCTATATCTTCCTCTACATATATACATATACATTTCTATCTATCATATATATATATGGGTATATAGGTCTGTATTCATGTATGTGTGTGTATGTGTGTGTATGTGTGTGTGTGTGTGTGTCTCTGTGTCTTTGTGTCTCTGTGTCTCTGTGTCTCTGCGTCCCTTCGTCTCTGTGTCTCTGTGTCTCTGTGTCTGTGTTTCCGTGTGTCTCTGTGTGTGTTTCCTTGTGTCTGTGTGTGTGTGTGTGTGTACGTGTGTCTGTGTGTCTGTCCGGGTTTGTGTTTCCTGAGCTTGCCATGGCGGTTTGTTGTTGATTCTTGTCCGTCATTCCCATGTCCCACTCAATTCTTTTATCTCGATTTGCCATCACAGTGTCTTAGTGATAAGTACCTTTGTTTTGGGCGTTTGTGTTTGGGGGCGGGGGGGGGCGGGGGGGGTTGTCATGATCCCAAGCCCTGCAGCCAGTATCTTCGAGCCATAGTGGGCACTGGACTCACTAGACCCTAAATCCTAAACTCAGGGCTCTGGGTCCACATCCACCCAAAACCCTGAACCCTAAAGGCCCTAAAGCCTACACCCTAAACCCTGAACCCTACCGAATCTGGGTACCAGGGATCAAGCAACCTCTTATGTTCTCATGATGCGCGCAACTGGGGACTTCAATGCCTTCCTTGGTTTCAGTCGAGTTTCATCTTCACTTGCACGCAGAGAGCAAGATGGACTGCAGCTACGTACCGTAGCCGTAGCCCTAAACCCTAAATCCTAAACCCTAAACCCTAAACCCTGAACCCAGTAAAAGCCCTAGGCCCTGAACACCCTCAAGGCACTTGAACCCCCCCCCCCCGGGCCGCAACAAAAAGATCAAGCAAAGACGGAAACAGCTCGAGAAGCCCTGAATTGCCCTGAACCCTGCACCCTAAAGCCGGAACCCTGGGTGTAGGGTGTAGGGTTTAGGGTTCTGGGTTTAGGGCAACCTTAAACCCTAGAAGCTCCTCTCAGCCCTGAAAGGAAGAACGAGCCTTCCATGACGAAGCCCAGCTCCTTGCTTGCTTGCTTAGTTTTGGTTTCGGGTCCACAGGGTTTAGGGTTTCGTAAGGTTTGGGGTTTAGGGTTTAGGGTTTCGGGTTTAGGGTTTGGGGTTTAGGGTTTAGGGGTTGGGGGAGTTTGCAGGAGGCTGCTTGGAGTGGCCCCACCCTCCCCCGGGTTCTTTGTTTTTGGTCCTCTTTTGAGGGTCCGATCGTAACAAGCAGCCTTGAATTCAGAGCATTCCAGCCATTGCATAAGCGGATGGTGCGATGCCATCGATCCGACTTCCACCTGCCAGGTGTGTCAGGAGCCCCCTCCCCTGCTCCCTGAACCCGAAAAACTAAACTCGAAACCCTTCTCTCCGCGGAATAGAGCTTTGTTTGGACTGCAGCTTCATCTACTTGGGTACAGATTGGGACGTGCCCCCTTATACTATCAGTCCTTAATAGTACCCCCCATTTTCATCCCCATTGAGGACTGTTTGTACAGGGTCGAACATCCCAACATCCTGCTTCTGAGGTCCTACATTGCCAACTTCGTCGGCCTCTTGCCCTGCAAGTCTGGGGTCATCGCTTGGGGTCCGGGTACCTAAACCCTCGAAACCCTCCAAAGCCTCCAAAGCCTCCAAACCCTCCAAAGCCTCTAAACCCTCCAAACCCTCTGAACTCTCTAAACCCCCTTCCAAGCCCTCTAAACCCCCTAAAACCTAAATCGTGGCGGCTTCAAAGCTGGTGGGGAGAAGGCGGGGTGGGGCCAAGGGTGCAGCAGATCTCAACGATCACTCGAAGTCTTCGGGGGTGCTTTTGGGTAGGGTTTAGGGTCCAGGGTTCAGTGTTGAGGGTTCGGGGTTCAGGGTTTAGGGTTCAGGGTTTAGGGTTCAGGGACCAGGACACCTCAAGATACCAAGTTGCATAGCTCAGGGTTCGGACTACGGGCCTTTCGCGGCACGTTTTCCGGTCGGCTTTAGGGGCTCAGGGCTCTCCTCAGGGCGGGTTTAGGGTTTAGGGTTTAGGGTTTAGGGTTTAGGGTTTAGGGTTCAGGGTTCAGGGTTCAGGGTTTAGCTCCCTAAGTAAAACCCTAAAGTGCCCCAAGACAGTTCCCAGATGTGCTGGACATGGACGGAGATCACAAGCTGTCGAAAGTGGAGTTCCTGCAGCTGATGGAGCGGGATCCGGACCTGCGCCCTGCTTGCAAGGTGTTGGTTCCCAGTAGGGGTTTAGGGTTTAGGGTTTTTGGGTTTTTGGGTTTTTGGATTTTTGGGTTTAGGGTTGAGGGTTTAGGGTTTTAGGGTTTAGGGGGAAGTGCTTGAAGGTTCTCATGGCTAGGTAGGGCATGAGTACCCAAAAACTCAGGTCATTTATATCTGTAGCGACCACCCATGAAACCCCCCTGAGTAGGGATTAGGGTCCAGGGTGTTACCTTACCGGGTCTTCTTAGGAATGAATTAGGATTTCACGTTTAGTTGGCATGTTATCTAGGGGACCTACTTCTACGCTTCCCTACCAAGAGCCAAGAAGACCGTGCACAGGGCAGTGCCACGCTCAGAACCAACTGCCAATTCTGAAGGGTTTAGGGTTTAGGGTTTAGGGTTTAGGGTTTAGGGTTTAGGGTTTAGGGTTTAGGGTTTAGGGTTTAGGGTCTGGGTTTAGAAGAGCCCAAGTGGTGCACGGTCGCAGCCGGCCTCTTCGCCGCAGGTGAGGTTCTCACGAGGCCATGCATGTAACACTGCCAGCCCCAGAGCATGACGGGGTGCCATAGCAGCCCTGTGCTGAACGTGACGCAAATCTGCAGGCTTGGCGAGCCATTTGGGTACCATCAGGCCCCCACACAACCCCACAACATTGTGCCTTTGATGCATACACACATTCATCTGTGCGTATCTTCATATGTGGATTAAGGTCTATAGCGTGTACTGTGTAGGGATATATAAGACATACCTGCATACCTGCATCTACCAAGTTGTTTTTGCTGCTGTCGGGCCCTCAGCCCCATGACCCCTACAAAGCCCCTAAACCCTCAATCCTAAACCCCCAAACCCGAACCCCTAAACCCCTAAACCCCTAAACCCCTAAACCCCTAAACCCCTAAACCCCTAAACCCCTGAACCCCTGAACCCCTGAACCCCTCAACCCCTAAACCCCTAAACCCCTAAACCCCTAAACCCCTAAACCCTAAACCCTAAACCCCCAACCCAATAAGCATTGAAGCTTGGATCCGCAGCCCTGATCTGAGGCTGCGGGGCCTTCAGGCGTTCGGAATCGATGCCGTTGGCTCAGCTGAGGGTTTAGGGTTTAGGGTTTTGGGTTTTGGGTTTAGGGTTTAGGGTTTAGGGTTGAATAGGGCTGTCTAGGGCTGAGGCCTCAAAGCGTTAGAGTTGAGGGTTTGGGGTTTGGACACCGGGTTTCGGGGGACAAGGTTTGCGCGTGGCTTGGCGTTTGGGAGTTCGGGATGCTTTCCACTTCAGGTCAAGTTTCAGACTTTTCGGGTTTTGGGATAGAGCTTTCCCACATGGGGTTGGTGTACTTCGAGCGTCATCCTACATATCCCCCTTTGAGGCAGTGCGGGCTTCATTTTTTCGGCTCAGGGTTAGGATTTTGTTCTGTACGCCCGAGCCCTCGTCGCTCGGCCTTAAACCTCGCAGTCCCAAAGCCGAATCTCTAAGAATCATAAACCCTAACCCCAGCCCCTACATCTAAACCCCAAGCCCCCCCCATGGCCTGATTGACGTACTACTACGACAGTCATTTTTTTTGGGGGGAGAGGGGGGCGGGATTACATGACTGACCCAGGTGGTCGCCTTTTGCGACAATGCGATCGCGCTTTTTTCCGACACCGACAACATGGAAGTTGGCAACCTGGCTGCATGATGCCGGGCTTGCTGTGCCGAGGGGGAGTGGGGGCTCGCGGGATCATTGTGCCTTCTTGCCTCTGCTACCAGCCTCAGTGCGTTGACCATGCGAGAAATAGGGTCGGACAACAAAGGACAAATTAGAGGAGTCTAGTGACATCTTGCCACCGGAATCCAAAACCCTTAGCCTCAACCCGCGGATCTCAGACCCCAAGCCCCCTAGCTGTCAAGCACGTTTTGTTTTCTAGTATCGTGATGTCCAGGTTGTAACTCAGGGGGCTTTGTGCAACAGTGCTACGCTGACCGCGCAATCAGAAACTCGCAAGCCTGTGAACAGCGACGATTTCTGAAGCCTGAGCCTTCAGCAACGCCTGCTTACATGTGCTACTCAATATGTGGGAAAGGTCTTCACCCAACAGCTAGTAGTCGATCAGACCCTAATTGCCCCAGATGAGACATAAGGCGACTTCGTCGAGCTGGTCACGCAGTTCCGCAGCCAGAAGCAAACCACCGTCAAGGAAATCGAGGGTTTACGAAAATTACGGGCCCTAGTATGGTCCCCAAACAGTTGGATTCCCTCATAGTAAGGGTCCCAAGAAGGTGCCCCCTAATAACCCCCCATCCTGGCATAGAGATAGGTCAGGTGGACTGAAGGGGCCATCCTCAGTACCCCTAGTGCCTGTGTTGGATGTTCCCAGGGCCCCCGAGAGCAACCCCAAGTTTCCTCACGAAAGCCCAGCAAGTTGAGTGGGAGCGAAAGCCTGAAAGAGCTGGTTCAAACCCTAAACCCTGAACCCCTTCAGCCCTCAAGCTAGGACAGATTGGGTCCCGTGTCCCATGGAACCCCACCCCAACCCGGGGAGGGGGGAGGGGGTTGGGAGGGGAGGGGAGGGAGGGTAGGGGAGGGGAGGGGACAACCCCAACCTGTCACCTTTCCGTTTACATGATAAATTTCTGGAGACATAGGTGAATCTAGGCAGGGCCACAAAGTGGGGCCCTTGTCCCGGAACTCGCGCAGGACTTGGTGGACATGAGGAAGTTCATCTCAATGCAGCTGAGGCATTTGGCAGAAGAGGCCCCTAAGTCTGCGGTTCGTGGTTCAGGCTTAGGGTTTCGGGCCCTTTTGTGCCCGGGCAGTTTGGTGTATTTAGTGTTTTTCGAGATTTATGGTTCAGGTCTTTGGGGTTTAAAGGGTTAAAGCTGCCAACAGCAAAAGCAGAAGGTTCCAGAAAGTTAAAGCACCCCGAATGCTGTTGGAGGTTCGTGGACGGTACGGACACGCGCGCATCGAAGCCGCGCCCCTTAGATGCAAGACGTCCCGCTGGACCCCAACGATTATTTCTGGATTTCCGAAAATCGTACTAGTAGCCATTTCGGGAGATCCCATACTAAGGGTGAGCTTCATCTGGAGATTTTTTGGTGGTCCCCATTTAGCGAGTATCGGTCTTTCTCTCTGGCTATCGCTTCTTCTGTACGTACATGAAATACGACATGCCAGTACCGACGTATGCTCGTATTCTGACATGCCAAGTATGCGCCTAAGATTCAGGGTACCCAAATAAAGGAACCATCATTTGGAGAACGTGACCAATATATACATATAATATACATTAATTTACATACATATATGCAATCTGGATAAATACCTCGACGCCTCTGCCATTCGACCATGGGCAGCAATGAAATTCAATGGCCTCTCGTGGGCACCTTTAGCCGGCCCTAGATCCAAAACCCGAAGCCCGGATTCCTGTGCTTAGGGTTTAGGGTTTATAGGTTTAGGGTTAGGGTTTAGGGTTTAGGGTTTAGGGTTTACTGAAGCTGTCTGGACTCCCAAGGCTGGATCTGACGCATTCGCGGGACATCACCGCGGTCAGGTATCAAACCGGGTAAGAGAGTAATGTGGGGTTTAGGGTTTAGGGTTTCGGGTTTAGGGCTTGGGGCTTAAGGGTTTAGGGTTTAGGGCTGTGTATCTGGCAACCGTTGTAAATTCTGCTCCCTTCTTGGATACTCCAAGAAAAGCAACGCACATGAAACATGTATATCTGTCCGTAGGCCAACAGGCCCAGAAGAGGGAGAAAGGCCATAGTCTATAGTTTTAGAGAACTGGCCACGTGCTGGTTTGCGTCTTATGGCTTCTACCCTGTACGATTCAATTCTCTTCTTACCTGGAAAGGGCAGTTTTCCGGTGGCGGCGCACCACCACCGTTTCCTGGGTGGGGATCACGCTGTAAACCCCAAAGTTAACGCACACAGTTCGGTGGTATCACCGTTGTTTGTTTGTGTGTGTGTGTGTGCCTTTTGCTTGCTGGCTCATGTGGGGTGAGCGGGACTACCCCTAAAGCACAGAATAAGGGTTTAGGGTTTAGTTAAATTCATTCTACGGAAAGATCGCCATCTTGTGCCAAGAGTGGAGATCCCCAGAGGACTGTCGCGAACCTCGACCACGTCCAAGCTTCTTCTGTTGTGCAGGTCTCAGTCCTCCCTGAGTAGCGGTACGGAGGTGTATCCAGCTTTCTTAAGACCCTTTTATTGTCATGGTACGTACCTTACAAGCTACAAAGGCAGGTAGACGAGAGTAAGTAAGCACTTACGAAAGGCCACATAATGATCAACACCCCACCTGTTGCTTCCCAAGGGCTGGGCGGTTGCAGGCTGCTGTGCACACAATACTTAGGGCTTTACAACCCGGGGAAGACTAGCCGCAATGAAGCACTACCCGCCATGGGAGATGCCATGAGACCTGCCCGTTGTCTCTTCTGTGATTTCTCTGGGCGGAGAGCTTGCTTCTAAGAATGACGTTGCAGCAAAAGCCAAGCAAAGTCCATTTTGACTACTGCTGCCTGTCCAGGGCGGGTTCATGGCCTTACCCCTTCTGATCCTTCTTGGGAGAATGGGTAGATGTCCCTATAAACCCTAACCCTAAACCCTAAATGCTAAACCCTAAACCATATGGCTGTCTTTTCATGCCCTGTGTAGTAGAAGAGCAAGCTCTTCCCTTGACGCCAGAAGAGATGTGGTCCAATACCCCATGCTGCCGAAACTGCGGCATGACGGACTCGGTGCTCAATGCTGTCCCTGCAAAAAAGTGTCGCGAGGGTTCGGCCGCATATTTGGCCAGGTTCACGCGTTGCTCACTCTGTTCACGCCTTGAAATTACTGTACATTCACTTCGCTCTCTACACTTAGCCCTGGCAGGCAGCTTGCGATGGAGCAGCGCTGATTGCCTGAACCCGAAGCCAGATCAAACCCTATACCCAAGACGAGACCGAGTGTCCTACAGAAGAAGCCTAGATCATCAGAGACCATACCCCAAACCCAAAACCTAAACCCTAAACCCTACAAACCCTGCACACCCTCAAGCCCTGCAAACCCTACAAAGCCTACAAACCCAAAACATTAGCATCTTTAGTGCCCTCCGATCCTGGAGTGCTTTTCTGGCGCCAGGGGCTTATGGAGCCTCAGGGATTCGTCATGCTGTTAGGTCTTCAAAAGGAGATTATCCGTACGCATATGGGTTTTGGGTTTTGGGTTAGGGTTTAGGGTTTAGGTTTCAGACGTCCAGTTGGAGTTGAACGAATGGGCTTAGGATTCGCATCTCATCGTTTCACAGTGGCCTGGCCAGAAAGAGAACCGACGTCGGTGCTTTTGAGGTCGACGTGCTGTCGTGCCTAGGCATGTGCTTGGACGTTATAGGTTTTAGGTTTTAGGGTTTAAGGTTTAGGGTTTCATGTTAAAAGGCGGTGTCTCCTTGCTATTTTTTCAAGCCTACGGGGCTTCAAAGGCTTTAAGAGCTGACTCAAGCTTTTATCCAGGACGAGTCGCGACCATCGTTTAAGGAACGGTTCTTCGGGGTGCCGGGTTTTTTGGAGTCAAGGATATCATCATCTGCACAGAAGTGCCAGGGTTTTCGCGTCTCCGGGTGTGGTTGCGCGTGACGCAGGAGAAGTTCTGACCGTGCTGCCGTGCCTAAATTCGAAAACCAACCTCGTAGGCTATGGGTTTCGGGCTTCAGATAACTTCAGGTAACTTGAAGTCCTAAACCTTAAACTTTAAACCCTCTGTACACGCTAAAGCCCAAAATCCTTTGGGGAATTTTGAATAGGGGCTTCGTTGCTTCTGCTTATTTCCGGCTTGACTGCCTGCATATCGGGCACACCCCAACCATGCAGCTCAGATGCATTCCTAAGCCCTAGCAACCCCAAACCCCATAGCCCTAAAGCCTAGAACCCAACAACCCTTAACCCCAACAGCCAATAAACCCCAAACCCCCCCCCCCCCCCCAAAAACCCAGTCCCGAAACACCAACAACCTGAAACTCTAAAGTCTAAAGCCTTTCATACAGCAGGTCGGGGGTTCGACTTTTTGCTTGTGAGGTTTTTTGTGTGAGGTGCGGGCTTTGGGCGCGTAATCGTCAGGAAGGGGAATGAAGTGTACGGCATGAGTAGGGGGGGGGGCACACGCGTTATGTAGGGTTTTAGGATTATACCCTGAAGTCCAACCCCTAACTAAATCTGAACTCTGAAGCCTTAAAACAACCCTAACCCTGAACCCTAACCCCTAAAACCCCTAAACCCTAAGCCCTGAACCCTAAACCCTAAACCCTAAACCCTAAAACCTAAACCAAACCTTAAACCCTAAACCCTAAACCCTAAACCCTAAACCCTAAACCCAATTAAGCCCTAAACCCTAAACGCTTGGAGGCGCCGGTTGGAAGCTTCGGACCAGGTCCGGCTTCGGCACGTCATTGACTGGATGGGTTTCAGGGCTTAGGGTTCAGGGTTTAGGGTTTAGGATTCAGGGTTTAGGGTTTAGGGTTTGGGGGTGTGGGGTTCAGGGTTTGGGGGGTTTAATGAGGGGATTTATTGGGTTTGGGGCTTGGGGTTTTGGGTTAGGGGTTTGCGGGCTAGGGTGTATCAGGGTTTCCAAAACGTCTCAAAATGGTCAGAGGCATGGAACCGCACAGCCTTTTTTTTCGTTGCTGCAGGCTGTCTTGTGGTGGGTTTCGGTATCGGGCTTACTGCAAGCTGCTGAGCATACAAGGATTGAAGGGTTTAGGCGTAGCAATGAAGACTGCAGGGTTCTATGCTTTCTCCTGCATTTTGCAGAGCTCTATGCTTTCTCCTGCATTTTGCAGAGCGTTGATGTTGAGCTGCGAGCAGCATGTCGTGGCAACTTGTAGGTGTATGCACCCGCGCGATCGGATGTTCAATGAACTAGTTGCCCCGGCCAACCCCACACTCAGCCATAGGCACACCCTTACAATCATATAATGATATAGCACTTTCTTCAGATAGTAATATAGCAATATAGCTATGTAGTTATACGATAATATACCAATATTCAGATAGTAATATAGCACTTTCTTCAAATAGTAATATAGCAATATAGCTATGTAGTCATATGATAGTATACCAATATTCAATGTAAACATACTTTGTGGGAGTCGCTGGTACCAGAAGAGGAGTCATACTCCAACCGGAAGCAGGCGTCGGCATCCGGCTGCCGAGCCAGATGCCCAACGTCGGATCCCCAGTCATGCAGACGGGCAGACCATGTAGGGCTTAGGGTTTAGGGTTTCGGGTTTAGGGTTTAGGGTTTGGGGGTTAGGGTTTCAGGTTTAGGGTTTAGGGCAGATGCAGAGAGAGCGCGAGACAGAGAGAGAGAGAGAGAGAGAGAGGGAGAGAGAGAGGCCAAGCGCGTTGGGATTCAGAGTGCGTTTCGATTCAGGGGAGTTACGCCGGACTGAATTTGGGGAGGGGTGGCGGGGGGGGGGGGGGGGCGTGTGGGGTGTGAGGATGCCAGGTAGGGCATGGGTCTTGTAGTATAGTGTGTATATATATATATCTATCTAAATAAGTAAATATGAAATATATACACATTTGTTTATTCATGTGTAGCTTTCATTTTTATAGTTTACCCTTATTGGCTTTAAGGGTACCTTGTTTGGGAAGTACGGGCCAAGCCAGCTTCTTGGCAGGGGTCATGCAGAGTCCAAGTTCCGAAAAGGTCCTGAAGCACTTCAAGCCGAGATCTCCCCCAATGCTCTAGGATTTAGGGTTTAGGGCTTTGGGCTTCACTTCCCTCAAGGCTTTTGGAAGGTTGTTAAAGGGATGTTTATGAACTTCAAGTAAAGGATAGCAGTTGTCGGGGTGTAGGGTTCGCTTTAGGTGAGAGTGGCTCAGGCCCAGGCTCCCCCCGGCATCGTCAGAAGCTCAGTGTTCAAGGATTCCGTCGGTTTGGGCTTTAGGGTTTAGGGTTCAGGGTTTAGGGTTTAGGGTTTGAGGGCTTTCTTCAGGCCTGCATGGGGTGTTTGCAGGGTCTGTTTCAGGGTTTCTCTAGGGTTTCTTTATTTCTTATGGGGTTGAAGGGCTTCAGGGTTTATAGTGGTTTCTTAGAGGGGATTCTGTCGTTGTGTTTGGTTTTAGTTTTTTTCGGGTCTAGGGTTTTAGGGTTTAGGGCTTGAATGTTTTTGATGAAGGCATGTGGGCTGACAACTCGTATGGTGGCTGCTTCGAGGCTTTGATGACCTTTAGTCTAGTGTTTTGGGGCTTTGCAGGGTCATGGACTGTGAAGAGCTTTGAAGTTTACTCGTACATGGCATCCCAGTGACGTCTCGGGCTCCTGCAAACAGCATCAGACAGTCCGAAGGATTTCTGCAAAACCTGGGTTTATGAAGAAGCAAAACTGCACGACAGAGGGCATTTTGCGGGAAACCTGCGATGATGATACTCCGGACCTCCAATTCTTTGTTCATGTCGGTTGTGGTTGCATCTGCTACAGACTCTGCTGCACCCGAAGCCCCTCGACAGTAGATAGACCCTTCTTAAAGCCCTCGACGCGCGTTGCTTTGCCAGCTCCCCTATGCGGGCAGTGCTGGTGCAGCAGGCCGG